TTTTTTTTTAACACTTCTTGGTACTTTAGCACTTTTTTATAAAAAGCAAGAATCATGCTTTACAAACAGTAGAACCATGCTCAAAGGGAGAAAGGTCTTAAAAATGGTTATGTGTGATTTTTTTGATTATCAGAGGAAAAAGAAAATTATGAAACAGTGCAAAAATAATATGGCCACCATTCCATGAAATAAAATGTTGACTTCTCTTTTAGGTACATGGCCCCTGAAGTTCTAGATGATTCCATAAATATGAAACACTTTGAGTCCTTCAAGCGTGCTGACATCTATGCAATGGGCTTAGTGTTCTGGGAAATGGCCCGACGATGCTCCATTGGTGGTAAATCGCTCCTCTCCCAACAGTTGGTCTCGTAAAGAAGTTGCACGAGCATTGCCTTCTGTCTTACTGAGTGAAGGCACACAGGCAGCAGTCTGGGATGGGTTCCTGTGGATGGTCACCATGAGGGCCTGAAGAAGCAGAGATAACCCCTCTCGTGGGAAAGAGCCATGGTGTGCAAACTCACAGCTTTGTCCTGGGATCATCTTTTCCTGCTTCTACGTCAATCTTGGGAAACATCTGATCCCAGCCGCTTTTATTTTGGATTATAGTTATTGAGAATGAATGACTGTTTGATAGGCTACCTAGGAAAATGTTTCTAGCATGTATCTGGGTCAAACTGATATTTTCCGCTTGAGACTGGGGCTCTTTGCTCCAACTTGATATTCTTATCTCAGGGACCCATGTTTAACTACTTGGGAGGATTCTATCCTTTTCTGTGTTTTGGAATAGTTTGAGTAGGAATGGTGTCAGTTCTTCTCTGAATGTTTGGTAGAAATCTCTGGTGTAATCATCTGGGCCAGGACTTTTTTTTTGTTGGTAATTTTTTGATGACCTGTTCAATTTCTTCTTTTGTTATGGATCTGTTCAACTGTCCCACATCAGTGTTAGTTTAGGTAAGTGGTGTGTTTCTAGAAATCTGTCCATTTCGTCCAAATTTTCAAATTTGTTGGAGTATAGTACTTCATAGTATCCTGATACTATCCTTTTTATTTTAGTTGGTTCTGCTGTGATGTCACCCATTTCATTTCTTATTCATGTTATTTGTATTCTCTCCCTCTTTTCCTTTG